ATGTGAAAAAGTGCTGCTGTGAAGCTTAAGTAAAGAAAGTCTTAAGCAAATACGAAGCCTCCTGTCATGTTATAAAATTCCATATATTTATTGCTCTTACAGTAATAAAAACCTTTTCTTTGGCGTAGATGAAATCTCCTTTCTTCCTGCCTAAATATCACGGGTGGCGGTATGGAGACAGGGACCCCTAAAGGTCTGATGATGATGGGAGTCTCAGTGTGGAAATGGACTATCAGGGCCATGAGCAGGGTAACCACATGCCCCCTGGTGTTGAGGACCAGCATTTGTGCGGGCACATACCAGGGCCCTGATGCAGGTTCTGCGGATCCCAAGAGCTAGGCTCTGGATAGGGAGGCTCTGCAGCAGAAATGTATCCAGTACTAGAAACAAGGCAAGACTAGAACAGGCACCAAACAAGACAAGACTAGACTAGACTAGACTAGAAGAACCCAGAACCAGAGCAGGATAGAAAGCAGAACCCAGAACATGTACACAAGACATGAGGGGAGCATGAACAGGGCAGGACAGGACTGTACATGAACTGGGAATACAAGACAAAATAAAACAAGTCAAGAGATGCAAGGCAAAACAAGAAGAGGCATGACTAAGTACTATAAATGTAAAACATTGGAGATTTAGACATACTTAAATGGACGAAATTCAGGAGTGACAAATTACATTTTTATTTAGTACAAAATCATTCATACGAAACAAAAACTTCACTGGTACACATGTCTATTAATCACTTTTCAATGGTAATTGTGGATCCACGATTTAATCAGCTGTATTTTGTGGGGCCCCTTTCAGTAAGATGCAACAAGCACTTTTCTTGCAAAGTCATATATCATCAAAAAATCTCCAGGAGTGATAGCATGCAGTGGTTTCATTCTTGCCAGCTGTACATCATGTGACCTGTTTTAAACACACTTAAAAAGGCTTGATTTAATGAATGCTATTTCTCCCTTTAAAACTCATAGACAATGGACATGAACACTTAACACACCAATTCATTACAAAACATAAAACTCATACTCAACAATCATTTCTCCATGATTCATGTTGTCATTCAAAAAAAAAGAAAAAAAAAAGACATAGTAGAGACAACCAGCAGAGTTACCAATGCCAAATATTAATTCATGGATATGCAAATAAACCACAGCCAATCCAAAATAAGTTAATAAAATTAGTGAATAAATGTCACTCTCTTTATCCCTCAGAGGAAATACAGTAAGACAAAATTTAGGTTTCTATGCTCAGAGCATATTAATTTTTACAAAGGGTAATTAACAAACTGACAAAGATGATCGATTACAAATGCAATTTTAAACTGTTTAAAATTGTAAACTGTGCAATTTTAAAGATCACAAAACTCTACAAAATGAACAGGAAAGCTGAATAAAAGGAACTTGACTATTAGCTACACTCTGCAGATCAGACCACAAATCAGAGCCTCTCAGAGCTGTTAGAACTACTCCAACTCCCACTGTTCTTGGACAATAACAATAACCATTATACTTTTAGACAATTTACAGAGATCCTCTTGAACAAGGTCTTGCATATTTAGATTTACAAATAGCTATTTCACCTTTACAGAGACAGTCAATACTTAAGATATAACATCCCTCAGCAAAATAAACAATTTAACAGCTACAAATTATTATATAGTAAATTTATACGCTACTCAATTCCATACAATAAAAATCTTCAGAACATTATTATCCATTCAGTAAACAACAATTCAGATTATGTTAAGAATGTTAAAACAGACAATAAAAACCAAAGAATTCAATCACCAACAAATCTATATAACATAGAAAAAAGTTACCTGTGCTATCTCCTTAATCCCTATTAGAGTTAAACAAACTCGAACTGTAAAGTTCGGATTTGCACCGAACATTACGGCTTTTGGACCCCGGACTCGAACACTGACATATCAGTGTATGTTCGGGTTGGAGTTCGGTGTTTGGCGATTTAATGGCGCATTTTGAAAGGCTGCGGGGCAGCCAATCAACAAGCGTTTGACTCGTGTGCCCTTAGAAGCCATCACAGCCATGCCTACTAATGGCATGGCTGTGATTGGCCAGTGCAGCATGTGACCCAGCCTCTATATATAAACTGGAGTTACGTAGTGTCGCACGTCACATGAGCTCTTATTAGTGTAGGGAGAGGATGCTGCAGCTGTGAGGGACAGATTAGGAAAGAATTCTAGTGTTGAATCTGCAAACTACAGCCATTATTTTTGTGGGTGCTATACTACATTTTTGTACCTTGCCCTGAGCCCAGTGCCACAGAAAGTGCAGTGCACTTGCAACTGCATGTGTGCCAGGCACATTACTTTAATCCTGTTCTGGTAGCTCAGTGGGCAACATTTAGGCATTTTTAAATACTGCAATTTTTTTGGTGCTAAATAGTATATTTGCGTACTGCATTTCTTGTAGTCCAATAAAACCCTTAAATACTACTGTTACATTGTTGGTTTAAAAAAATCTAACTTTTTGGTGCTAAATAGTACATTTGCGGTCTGTGGTGCCCTTCATATTTGAGAGTGAAATAGAACCGTAAAATACTGTGGTTACATTGCAGTTTGACTAATTCACATTTTTTTGGTGTTAAAAAGTACATTTGTGGCGTGCATTTCATATCTGAGAGTCAAATAGAACCGTCAAATACTGCTGTGAAATAGCAGTTTTAAAAATTCATATTTTTGGGTGCTAAAAAGTACATTTGGTGTGTGCACTTCATATCAGAGAGTCAAATAGACCCGTCAAATACTGTGGTTACATCGCAGTTTTAAACATTCACATTTTTTAGGTGCTAAATAGTACATTTGGGGTGTGCACTTCATATCTGAGAGTCAAATAGAACCGTCAAATACTGTGGTTACAGCGCAGTTTTAAACATTCACATTTTTTAGATGCTAAATTGTACATTTGGGGTGTGCACTTCATATCTGAGAGTCAAATAGAACCATCAAATACTGTGGTTACTTTGAAGTTTGACTAATTCACAGTTTTTGGTGTTAAAAAGTACATTTGGTGTGTGCACTTCATATCTGAGAGTCAAATAGAACCGTCAAATAGTGATGTACCGAACGGTTCGCTGGCGAACGGTTACCGGCGAACATAGCATGTTCGCGTTCGCCACGGCGGGCGAACATATGCGCGGTTCGACCCGCCCCCTATTCGTCATCATTGAGTAAACTTTGACCCTGTACCTCACAGTCAGCAGACACATTCCAGCCAATTAGCAGCAGACCCTCCCACCTCCTGGAAGGTATCCATTTTAGATTCATTCTCAAGCTGCATGCTTAGTAAGAGGAGGGAAAGTGTAGCTGCTGTTCATAAGATAGGGAAAAGCATAGCTAGGTTAGGGATAAGGGTATGCTTTTTTTTAATTTATTTTTTCTATGTAATGTAATTGCACTTAGTTGTTTGCCACTGCTGCCAGCTTCTGTGTCAGGCTCACAGTGCATACTGTGCCCATTTCCCCAGTCAGTGCCACCACTTACATCTGGTGTCACAATAGCTTGGATTTAAAAACAAAAAACTTTTTTCACTGTTATAGATTGAATAGCAGTCAGTGTCCTTAAAGCGGGTGTGTTACGCTAACAGTGGATACGGTGACCAGTGCCACCACTTAGATCTGGTGACACAAGCTTGGATTTAAAAACAAAAAACTTTTTTCACTGTTATAGATTGAATAGCAGTCAGTGTCCTTAAAGCGGGTGTGTCAGGCTCACAGTGGATACGGTGCCCATTTGCCCAGTCCGTGCCACCACTCATATCTGGTGTCACAATAGCTTGCATTTAAAAACAAAAAACTTTTTTCACTGTTATAGATTGAATAGCAGTCAGTGTCCTTAAAGCGGGTGTGTTACGCTAACAGTGGATACGGTGACCATTACCACCACTTAGATCTGGTGACACAAAGCTTGGATTTAAAAACAAAAAACACTTTTTTCACTGTTATAGATTGAATGGCAGTCAGTGTCCTTAAAGCGGGTGTGTTACGCTAACAGTGGATACGGTGACCAGTGCCACCACTTAGATCTGGTGACACAAAGCATGTATTTAAAAACAAAAAACACTTTTTTCACTGTTATAGATTGAATAGCAGTCAGTGTCCTTAAAGCGGGTGTGTTACGCTAACAGTGGATACGCTGACCAGTGCCACCAATTAGATCTGGTGACACAAAGCTTGGATTTAAAAAAACAAAACACTTTTTCACTGTTATATATTGAATAGCAGTCAGTGTCCTTAAAGCGGGTGTGTTACGCTAACAGTGGATACGGTGACCATTGCCACCACTTAGATCTGGTGACACAAAGCTTGGATTTAAAAAAAAACAACACTTTTTTCACTGTTATAGATTGAATAGCAGTCAGTGTCCTTAAAGCGGGTGTGTCAGCCCTACAGCATGTACTCTGCCAGTTTACAGTGCCACTCATATCATACCACCAGAATGCCGTCATTGCAGAGCTCTGCAGTGTGGCATTTTTTTTGTGTGTCTGCCTCTGACAACAGCGATGCCATTTGCAACCTGTGCCCAAAGAAACTGAGTCGTGGGAAGTCCAACACCCACCTAGGTACAACTGCTTTGCGTAGGCACATGATCTCACATCACAAACGCCTATGGGATCAACACATGAGTACAAGCAGCTCGCCTATGTTGTATAATCCTTCTCTCACCACCAATACTTCCAATTGGTATCCTTTTGAGAGAAATCCACTCTGCGTTGTGTTTTAATAGTGAATGTAATATCCCTGTGTCACCTCTTCCAAGAACTAACATATACCTGTATCCCCTTATCCAGATAAATATATGACTAGCACTACTAAGGTATTCTACCCAATATTACAAATAAACAGCCAACACCATAGTTCTTACCAGAGAGAAATCTTTACTTAGAATCTGCCCAATTAAATATTACAGAAGAAGAATGTTACAGAGTTATAGTATTACAGTTACAATACATTCATAACACTCATACATTCCATCTATCTAATACTATCTGCTACATTGTGTATAATAATATTGGCTACATTGTGTATGTGCTGTGCATGTTATGGGCAGCTTGTGTGTCTTACCAAAACCTAACCTAATGTGATGTCAGTATCTTCTATTTTTAAAGGAATTGGTTCCCATGTTGTAAATAGCAAATTCCTCAGCTCAATTTGACATGGAAATGTGATTTCCTTTCCCAAGGCCCAAAGTGCTGTCTATCCTGTTATTTTATTTAAGTGTTAACTCTCCCAGCCATCCCTTTTCCTCTAACCCAAGGTGTGTTTTCCTAGAAAGGGACTCCTTTGAAGACCAGTTGATATGTAAATGTGATTGGTGCCTTTCAGGTGCTGTATCTTTCCAACTATCTAAACAGAAACTCCCTTTGAAGATAATTCCTGACCTCCCATACACACAGACTCAATCAAGCACATATTAAACAGATATATACATAATATTTTCCCCAACACTCCCCCACTTGAATACGATCTAATAAGGAGATTATTCACATACAACCCCGCCTCCCACTCTGATTTCTGTATATTAAAAAAAAAATCAAAAAAAAAATCAAGGGAAGACATAAACCCATATATTTTATATCCCTAAAATGGATGTGAGCTCTAATTTTTTCTGCTTTGTATGGATTTTTTTTTTAGTTCTTTCCTCCAACAGCAATATAAAATGAATAGAGAACAGATTAAAACAAATTGTAGACAAACAAATATCACAGAAGCAGTTCTTAATCCTGGGTGTGTGTAAGTATTGTAGGGTATGCTCCACCAGGGCTCTTGAAAACTATTTGTTAAATCATTAAGGCTAGCTACATTTTCCTTCACCAGCTCTTGCAATTGCACAACCCTTCGATTATTTCTTTTAAATAATGTATCCAAATCTACATTAAGTGGTGGGATTTTCTTAAAAAGTGAGGGAGCCATTTTATTCCAATTTCCTAGATCTTCCTGTACCACGTCCATAGATCTTTGTGTAAGTTGGATATTGGCTCTTATGACCTCCTTGTCCACTTTCATGGAGCCATAGGTCAGATTAACAAACCCCTGTTGGGGGTACCCTACATTGTATAGTTTGCTGCCACAGAACTGAAGATACTCTCAGTGCGCAGATCGTGGGACCCTGTCCGTGCACCACTCTTTTCCAACCATTTATGGGTTTGTGAAGGTGAACAGGGCAGCTCCCTGAGTTTTCCACCATGCACCCATCTGCCTGGACTAGTGGTTCTAGTACACAGGAACAAAGCCAAGCATTACCACGTCTGTCACAGCAACTGGGGTTCATAACTTTCCAGAACTGGTCTTCTTTTATTACTAAGCAAGTTTGTGGAAGGAATTGCTTTAAAACATTAGTGCGATTAGCCACTTCCAACTCACCAAACATAGTCATCTTATAAACAGGTACAGGCTGTTCTGTCCAAACTGGAATGTCAATTATTAATGGAATTACCTTTTTTCCTAATTTGCACTTATTGCACCAACTCTGCAGACCTTTAATTTTGGAAAGGACTACATTCTGACAATCTATGCCATATTCCCTAACCAGATCAAAGACTAGGGTAGAATTGATTATTCTGGGCCATTCCCCTCGTTTTATTTCTTGGAGGCCTAAATTTAGATGTTTGTCTAGTAAATTTCCAACTATACCACATACCATAGCTTTAGATACATTATTGTTATTAACTGATTCTCTGAGAGCATTCACAGATATATTGATCCACTGCAAATCTGCAGCAACTGTGTGAATGTTCTGTATCGTGACATCAGTTTCAGCTAGAGTGTTAAAATCCACTCGTCCCTTTTTAAGCATAATTTGCTGCAACCCATTAACATAATTTTGTTCTCGTGAGTTAAGACCCTCTATGTCTGCCCTATTCCAAATTGATGTTCCCAAACTGAGTCCTGAGATTATATCAGTACCCAGATCCCTTTTTTCTCTCTCTCTAAACTTGAGCCCTTGTGTTGCCTCCCAGAATAGATTAATATGTGCTTGAAATACATTTTTAAACCATTCTTTCATCATCTCTGGGCAACTCTCTGGCATATTAAATAATGAAATAAGATACATCAGTATACATAAGAGTTTGTGTTGGTTGTAAGAAAAGGCCATGCTCTGGCCACAGGGTGGTAGTTGGACAGTCCTGAGAATTTATACTTCTTATGTTAATTGCTGGGTCAACTGTATCATGTAATCCAGTCTGATGGGGGCTGCATGTTACAACACCATCCTGAGAAAATGTAAAATTTCTTTCCAGCAGCATCTTTATCCTCATTTCAATTGTGGTATTGGCCCAAAATATACTTGTACTCGTATGTAAATCACTTCCTCCTGGATATTTCCAAACTGCAAATTCAGAGGGAAGGTTAGTTTTAGGCATTGAAATATTACATTGTATCACTATCCACCCCCCTATAGGCCCAACCACTGTAAGATTATCTTTACATGTAACGTCAGCTGATTGTTCCTTTACTTTTAATGTTACAATGATATTCTCTGAATCTTCTGAACTCCTTTTCTCCCTATGATAACCCTCTACTGGAGTACTCTGATGTACCATTTTATTGTTATTCTTCATCATGACATTCCCTTTTCCTAAGCTATACAATATATACATAGAAAACGATACACATAACCACCACATCACGACAGCTGTTTTCTTGCACTTCATATTCCTTATGTGGGCTGCTCTTCCAGGGATCCACTCCATCTCCTATTATCTGGAAAAGAGAGCTAACAGAATATGTTAACATTTACATTAACTCGGCACATCATTTTTTCCTCTAAAGGCTTTTATTTGACATGCATGCGTCCATCTAAAGTTCTCATCTCCCACATCTAACAAATACACAGAGGGTCCAATTTTGTCAAGCACAAAATATGGACCTTTCCATTTAGGTTTTGGAAATGGGTGGTGAGGGGAAAAATCTTGCAACATTACTCCGTTGCCAATCTGAAGCTCTGTTATATCCCTTTTAAAAAAAAAAAAAATATATTTGTCAGCATGCAATCTATAGAAAACTGTCTGTTGCCATACAAAGATAAAAATCAGCTTAAGGCTATTTTTATTGGTAACCATATATAGAAACAAAAGAAAAACAAACATACATACACATGTAGAGAAAAACAAACAAACAAAAAAGTTATGGTAGTTAATTGCTGGGAACCCTCAATTGATCTGTCTTTCCCTCATTTCTCATCTGTTCCCTAAGCGCTTTTACGTCTGCCTCCAATCTCTCAGTCTGTTTCTTCAGGTCCCAGTATTCTCTATTCCCTTCTTTATTCCTCCAATTATCCCAATTTCGTCTATTGGTCTGATCATCCCATCTATGGTTCCTTCTCCAAGTATTCTCCCAATAACTGTTCCTGTTTCTTTGTTTTTCTCCCCAACTGTGATTTCCCCAGTTATTATCTCTCCTTTTTAGCCTCTCCCAGTTATTATTATTCCAATTATTGTTAATTACCTGAGGCTCATCCCATCTATTTCTCCAATTATCTCCCTTTACATTGCTCCCTTTAGCACTATCCCTATTCCTATGGTCCCTCTGTGGATCTCTCTGTCTTTTGTTACTATCAGATTCATTCTCACATCTAAAATTTCCCACATGCCGAAATCTATCTCCCCTGAATGGTTTCTGAGGATACATGGCAGACCTGTCTCTCCTCTCTACTCTGAACATCCTTGCAGCATCTACAGCAAAACTCTCATTTTTAACCTTTCTTCGCCACAAATTATCAGCTCTTAACAGTAAATCACACATTTCTGATGGGTTTGGGATTACAGATAATATCTCATCTTTAATATCTTGCTCTAATGCATCCAAAAACATTGATCTATGCACCAGCCCTCCCTGTTCAAAACCAGGATTACTGACACCAAACTGTTCCATCACTGTGGAGATTCTAGCTGACAATTCATACGGAGACTCTTGTTTCAGCTGTTTAATTTTTCCAGACAATGACACATTTGATGTAACTCCATAAAGTGCTCTCAAGATCTCTTTCAACATATCCCTAGTTCTACGCTGCTGACCACATGTCTGTACAATCCTGACCCACAATCCATTTCCAACAACTCTCTGCAGCACTCTCTCCATATCACTAGTTGTCAAACTATACATCTCTTTCACTCTTTGAAATCCACAAAACCATTGCAAAAAGCAATTTATATCCTGCTGAGGGACCTGCCCTATTTCTCTAACTATGGCATCCATTTCTTGTGGCTTCAACTGCTTAGTAACCAGCTGAATCTCTCCAGAATTATCAGGATTCAACACTGTGGTTGTTGTAGTTGGAGCCGCAGGGAGATTTGTCACTGACTTTTGTTTCAAATCCTCCCATTGATAAAGGGGTTTGTATCCTGTATCTCCAATCCCTGGGTTAGCATTAGACCCTGGAATTTCAGATACAGGAGACCTACTCGAAGGTGCCATGCTTTCTGCCATTTTATTAAAAGCCATATTAGTAGCATGTCTGCATTCATCCAATTATTTTTGCATCTCCAAAATTTTCCCATTCAGCCTCTCATTCTCCACTGTAAGCTCCTCACACATTTTTGCCTTTTCAATCAAAGCTTCACCAGTTGTAACTGATTTCATGTTAATTACTGAATTTAGCTCTGCCATTTCATCCTCCTTTATTTTTACAATTCCCTCTAATTTTAAACAACATGATAGCAATGCTTGCATAATACACCCTTTTCTTTTTTTATCAGAAACATTTTTATCAAATAAAATTTCTCCTAAAAACTCCTGCATCTTTTCCCATGACTGTTTACAGTCCTGAGAGATTTCATAAGGACCACCATGTCTCTTAATATAGTTCATAAGCCATTGTTTAACATTTTCTGAACAAGCCATTTTTGCATCTACCTTTTTGCATGCCATATTAAAAATATACACTGCAGCAATAGAATAAATAACAAATATACTCACCAAGCTTTATGCAGACACTGGAAACCTCTTCTGGCTGACAGTCACAGAACCAAATACGTTGATGTTAAAACTTGGATCCTAGGCAGATTCTGAAGAAATAAATCTTCCGGCCACGGTCACGGCACCAATTATGTTGTATAATCCTTCTCTCACCACCAATACTTCCAATTGGTATCCTTTTGAGAGAAATCCACTCTGCGTTGTGTTTTAATAGTGAATGTAATATCCCTGTGTAACCTCTTCCAAGAACTAACATATATCTTTATCCCCTTGTCCAGATAAATATATGACTAGCACTACTAAGGTATTCTACCCAATATTACAA